GCAGGAGGGGAGGCCTTCAGTCTGGTGCTGCTGGGGACAGAGAGCAGTTGTGCTGAGCAGAGCAGGAGGGAAGAGCTGCAGAGCTGAGCTGTGTCAGGGGGAGGAGGTCTGGTGAAGCTGGCTGCACGTCCAGCTAGAGCTCAGGTACGAACTAGGGGTTTGTCTTGTGGTTTCTGGAGTGTTGTGTGCTGCACTGTGAATAAAGAGCCCTGTGTTTCCTTACCTTGTGGCTGTGAGTGAGTCTGTCCTGAGAGCTGCAGAGGGGGGCTGGGGTTGTCAACTAGGCCCAGATCTGCTGGACACGGGGACAGGACAGGCCTGCTGTCCTCTCTGAGCTGAAACACTGCTGGGTTCAGCTTCTGGTCAGCCAGTGACTCTGCTGCCTGGGGCTCAGAACAGCTGATCCTTATTAGTGAGCTACTCCAGCACTGCCTTCTGGGTAATGTCATAGAGACACCAAAGATTCACACTATGAACTGAAAAAGACACAATGTATGGGATTGCAGGTGGGAGGGTGTGTAATGAGATGCTTTAAATTCTTAAAATGGAGTCCTGAGGTGGCAGGATTGTTCCTGTTTTATTAAAAGCAGCTTCTTTATGTCTTTCTTCATAACAGCTTCTATGCAACTAGGACTTCTTTTCTTCTCCCAAGCAGAACGACTGAGCTCTGACATCCACCCTCATTCTCCACACTGGCTGCAGGCTTGAACTGACAGCACCTGTCCCTCCTCAACCCAGGGGAGGCTGTCCGTTGGCCACCCTTCTCCCCCCCATGGCCTGCTGGGAAATGTAGTTGATGAGGGTCCGCAGCAGGACAGTCCCAGTAGGAAAGGTGCAGATGGTGGAAGCTTTAACCCTCCCTTACACCAGTATACTCACCCTCTGCCTTACTCTGTTGTATCACACTGTCGTATAACTGAATACAAGCTGGAGTGGATCAGTAACTCTGCTCGACAACCAGACTGAATGTGGCACAGCAGGGCGGAGAAGCTGGAGGGGAGGATCTGCGCAGTAGGCTTCTGCTCCCAGACGCACACTGTCCCCCGGTGGAGAAGTGACAACACGGTACAGGTGAGGCTGAAGAGAGCAGGCCTCCTGACCCGCTGTGGGGCTCGGAGCTCAACCCCTTAGGAAAACGAGGCTGGTTTCTAATCTCCCAAACATCTGCACAAGCCTTTTATTCACTCTGGAGTCTGGTGTCATTGGACCACATGTTCAGAGTGTTGCAGCCTAATAATATGACTCTGATTGTATTTAGCTATTTTGATAGCTTTTCTGAGGTTGTATGTTATTTTAAGTTTAATTTTTATTCTGTAACTTTTTATTTCCCCCCTGGTGAGCAGAAAAGACATTTCACTGGCAGCAGTTACTGCTGCACGCTGTATCATTGTGCATCTGATCAATAAACTGTGACTGATCATCTGAGTGTGAATACAAGGTCTAATGATCACAGTGAACCTTTAATAAAAAATCGTTTTCCACGAATGAAATGAAGGCCTCCATGCAGATTCTACACGGGCTAACACAGCGACTTGTACAAGACTCACAGGCAGGTGCTCTCTGGAGGGGTCAAATCCTGTATTTAACACCTGAATAAACATCAAAAACCCTTCTCAAACCCACAGCCCACCACAGAAAAACTACTCCCCAGCCGAGCCAGTGCATGAATTGATCACTCTTATTTGAACTTGATTCAAATTGAAGTCACATTGTCCTGTAACAAACTAAGCCTTTCACAGATAATTTACTTGTCTTCCCTGTGGAAATGATTCTCTTTACTAACAAGTCTGCAATTTGAGGTGAAGAAGCAGTTTTTCCTTTTTATTAAAATTTTTACTGATGACACCTAAACCTGTTCAGGTCACAGGAAAAAAATAATACAGATAGACTGGACACTCCAGTTCATTAACACTGCACTGAGAGGTTAATACACACGGAGACTTTCTACGTCTTGGTCTATTACTCTAATTAGCCCAGTAATGGCCGACACTGACCTCGGTCCTCAGCCTGCGGGCTCTTGGTGTCCCGGGTTGTCTCTCCACAAGCCTGACGAGGGCTCTGTGCATTCATGAAGGTGTGAAATGAAGAGTAAACGAACTGATTCTTGATCGCGGCCAGTCCTTATACAAGCCTGCACGGCGCCGCCATGACAGTCCGCAGCGCCCTGATGACGTCATCACTCGCCGCCCGCCTGGAAAGCACCAACACTCCTGATAACATGTAAATGTGTTTCTGCCAACTTTAATTTTAATTTAATCAAATATAAATCAACATGCAGGTTTGACCGACTACATTGAAAACATTCTGCTGGTGCAATAATAATTATCCTAGTGCACTGAAGTGTCTTTACACTTAAATGTAGTAGTCGCAGATACATATTTCGCCACGGTTCCTGTAGCTCAAAAACGTTTAAATCAATGTAAATTTAATTCCGATCAGAGACACGTGGTTCTGAAAGTATCAAACGGGTCAGGACATGAGCTCTGGGCTGTTCAGTCTGTCTTCTGAATCCAACTGGAGCAGCAAATTCTTTCTGTAGAAATTCAAGGAATTCTAGAAGTCCTTCCATTCAGACCTGAGTTCAGTACTGGGCATCAGAAGACTCTCTGCACCGACATTTGAGGGAACATGGAAACGCTGTTCCAGTCTCCCCAGGCAGCACATAACTTAGGATTCTAGGTGTGAGTTGATTTCAACGGGGAGCACATTCTGTGTGGAGCTTGCACGTTCTTCTGTCATCCAGGAGGATTTCTTCTGATCTTATAAAAATGCTTCTGAGATGGGCCTTCTGACTTCTGAAAATGACCGGATCCACTGCTGCCTGAAGACAAAATCCGTCTGTTCCCTTAAAATCATCATTTCACAAAGCTGAGGGAGGCGGGGCTGTCTCAGTTCCTGCTTTCGGGACAGTCTCTGGGAATGTACCGACGTGTGCCAACTGCAAGGGTCTCTCGAGCACACTGGGCTGTGAAGTCCTTCACTGGAATGTCTTTTTGAACTCAGTTACAATTTGTTTGATGTGCTCCAGGGGTGTCATGTAAGCAGCAGCAGGTAAATGGTGACCCCAAAAAGATGTGCTCATTACAGTTATCTCATGGCGTTCTAATGAAAGTTCAGGAGCTCAGCCGAACTATTTGAGCAACACACAATCAATCCTCACTTGATCACCTCAGTTCAGTTATATACTGTTCCACACATCACCCTCTCCTCTTCCTCACTCGTTTTCACACCCCCTCTCATTCCTCACGAATTGAAACCTGGTGCCTGTTTCCAGTACCTCCTCTGCGAAGGGCTTTCTGTAATGTTGTCGCATCCTTGAAAGACAAGTCCACCTAAGGACCTTAAGGAAAAGGAAGTAAATGGATTCCAAATCGGTGTCGATGAGAATTGAATTCATTTTTTTATTTAAAACACAGTATTTAAAACTTTATATTCAAAGTATTTACATACAAAGTCATTCATTTATAATAATAATAATGTATTTGCTTACACTTTTATAGCACTTTTCTGGACACTCCACTCAAAGCGCTTTACAGGTAATGGGGACTC